TCGCCACCGCGGCGTGGCGCGGCCGGGCGGGGGCCGGGGGGAAACAATACCCCCACTTTTTTAGTCCGCGGCCCCTCCTGTGCGCATCCACGCGGCCCGCCGGGAAGCGCCGACCCCCTCCCCCTCCGCAGGCCCGCGGGAGCCGCGCCGGGGGCACGCCTTACGGTCTGGGCCTGCTCCCGCTGTGTGCTTTCATGGTGAAAGTTTTTGGTTCAGGTTTAAATGAAACTTTTTTCTCTTTTCCTCTCTAACCCGGATATGGGTAAATACACGACTAGCTGAGCCTATCGGGCCCAGCATGGCATGAGAGGGAGCCGTGCGAGCCGGAGCAACTATTATCCACTTCTCGCTGATGACTCTTGCGCACTCGCAAAACGCGGACTGGACTCGGCCCCGGGCGCCGGCGCAGCCTCGCGGGGACCCACGGCAGGGCGGCAGCCCCTAGACGGTGGCGTGGCCCGCTGTCCCCTCGCGCCGCCGTCTCCTTGCCAACCGGCGTTCGCGTGTTTGTTTTCACGTCTAAAAGGAGCAATACAAAGGTGGAAAACGAGTCTGACGAGCAGACAAAAGAGGGAAAAGGGCTGGGGAGCAAAGTTGTCTGTTGGCCTCTGAGGTGGCGAGAAGCCGGCAGAGAAAGAGAATATTGAGGCAATGTGTGCAAAAACACGGTCTCTCCCTGGAGTTATGTAATTTCTTCAGAACGTTGGCCTCTCAGCTTTGATTTCGGGCCATCAGCGTAATTCCCACAACTTCTTCCAACTGCAAAATCAGGAAAGACATGGGTGAAGGTTAGCAGCGTTCAAAGAGTACTGTGCGCTGTACACAGCAGGTACTCAATAAGTGTTTATTATTAACTATAGTAGCCCCAAAGACAATATTTATATAATTCCTTTTTAGGGCACCTTAAATAAATATGAAAATCCATATATTCCCAAAGGAGTATTTTTCCTGCAGTACAGGTCGGCATCTTCTCTCAAATAGGTGAAGTGTCCAGTTATGATCCAATTTTCACATGAACAGTTTAACCATTGGTGCCAGAACAGCGACAGCTAGGGTTTACCTCCCGTCTGCATAAATCTATATGACACCTTGCATCGTATTTCAGAGGTTAATGTGTGCAGTAACCCTCAGTATGAGTTCGTGACTAAGTAATGTGAAACAAAACCAAAGTAAACTGACGTATTTAACAAAGATCAATAATATGAAACCGTTGAATCTAATCCTAAAGCAGATATATTCCATACTTTTCTACTCTATCATGTTTTAAACATTTATATTATTATGAGTTTATCACCTAGTAAAATTTTAAATGTCTTTGGTAGCACCTCTTCTTAACCTAAGCCTTAGCTGGATTGTACTGCTGTGGACTCAATTGTCATTTAGAGAAAGCATTGGAAACCAGAGCTTCCCAGAGGTCACGCTGGCAGAAATTATAGAGTTGTTTGGGAATGGTGTTATTTTCCAAAATTATTTCATTCCTAAAAAGTAGTTTACTTCAGTTGCAGTGGTGGTTTCTTTGCTAGAACTAGTGCAGATATGTCACATGACTAAATAGAAACCGATAGATTGGAAAGGAAAAAAATAAAATCAGTGACTAATTGGGGAGGGGAATCAGGTACACACCCAAGGGTCATTATAGTGTGTAGAAACAACAAATTGCAATTTGATGCAAACAACTGCAAAACGAGGTATATCATTGTATGTAAGAAACAATAACAAAAACCTAAGATGAATTCCTGCCAAATCATCAGTTTTTGCCAAGAGAATACTATATCTTTGTTAGTGTCCCTTTTTGACTTTTTCTCCTGGATTTTCACTTTATATATTTAAATATATACTAGTTATTCATGTTGTGCCACATAAATGGAGTATTTAAAGTTTTTCGTATGCAAATATAAATGTCTTTTTGTGTGTTGATATACGGTACAAATATTCTAAAATCAATTACATATCAATGATTTTCGACATTTGTAGTCAACTAAATATATAATGTATAATCATGAAAGTATTTTTAAACTGATAAAATGCATCAAAGTCAATTCATACAAGTGTAGCGTATGTTGTGACTAATTTTCACAACTAATCCTAAATGGGAAAATGAGTCACCAAGTTTAGCTCAGGCCCTTTGCTTAGAAATATTTCTTCATGTCAGAAAATCATGAAGCTAAAAGGAAAAACAAAATAAGTGTCATAGGATGAAATGTCTTTTAATTCCATTTGCTTCTGCAAGTCAACTAGAAGATTGGAACCAAGAGGCAATAAATAGAGACCCCCAGTACAATGAAATCAGTCTACTATAAAAGGCGACACATGCCAGCTTTTCCTCCCCAATGGCAGATGCCACACCCTAAAGCAGACAGAAGGCACTGCAGCCTGTAAAAGAAGCACAACACAAAGCCAGCAGAAATTGGTTTTGTCTTTTAAACCACGGAGAATGCTAAAATACCTTTTTAAAAGAATCTTTGCTGAAGATAAAATAGTAGACTCATTGAACTTTTCAAACATACTTTCTCAGGAAAACAATAAAAGCTTTAGTTTCATTTAAAAATTCAGGGCTCAATAAACAAAATGGCAATTGTCAGGAGTCTGTTCCAAAGTGATAAAATGGGCTTGCATGTCACAAAAACAGTTTCAACTATCTTCTAATTTTTATCGGTTCCCTTGCCTCAATTATCCTATATGACAGTTCATCTTACTGTTGTGTTTTGATAAAATAAGGTAATGGAAATCGTTGTTCTAATGAGTTCCTTAATTTTACACCTCTTACCTAAATTTCAAACCACAATGACAACTTTAATAAGTTGCTCTAACCACAAGGAAGTCTTGGGGGTGCAGCCTAGGCGACGGCCTTGGCTACTCTGCACCCGAAGCAAACCTCCCACCCACAGGGTGCTCCCCATGCCTTCTTGTATAGCCAGAGGATTACCCAGTATTTTGTTAAACATTCCTTTTTGGTTACAAAAGGTTTTCTTTCTTTTTTCGCTACTATATG